ATATGATAATATAGTTACTAGTGTCAAAACTACAAGGAGAGTGTCTAGTGAGTTTTCTATTAGCATAGGATTACATCATAGATCTGTATTAAGTTCCTATCTTTTCACATTGATAATGGAAGAACTGACTAGATACCTACATGATAGACCTCTCTGATATATGTTATTTGTTGATGATATTATCTTAGTTGATGAAAACCTAAGTGAAATTAATTATAAACGTGAGCTATGGAGGCAAGCTTTAGAAACTAAAGATTTTAGATTAAGTAGGACTAAAACTGAATATATAAAATGTAATTTTAGTACTTCTAGCAGTAAATAAGAGAATATAATTAAATTGGATAGACTAGAATTCCCTTTAAGTAAAAGTTTTAGGTATCTTAAATCAGTTATTCAACAAGATAAAGAGATTGATGAATATATTATTTATAGAGTAAAAATAAAATGACGAGGGACATCAGGAGTCTTTTGTGATCATCGAATACCTTTAATAATAGAAAAAAAATTATAAGATAGTTGTGAGACCAACAATTCTTTATAGATCTGAGTGTTGAATAGTTAAGAAATAATATTTACAAAAAGTTTATGTTGTCGAGATAAGAACTTTGAGATGGATGTGTGGAGTTACTAGGAAATATAGGAAAAAATATTTTTGTTCGTGAACAACTAAGTATAAAAAAGCTTTGATAGAGGATAAGATATGAGAAAATCGTTTAAGATGATATGAGCATGTGCTTAGAAGACCTCCGGATGCGATTATCAAAAGAGACGAAATAATTAATATTAGTGGTACGAGGAAGGGTAAGGGAAGGCTAAAAAAGATTTTAATAAGAACTATAAAGATTTAAGTACTCTGAATTTAATTAAACATATGAATTTTTACAGATCTCAATGGCAACAAAAGATCCATGTAGTCAATCTCAAATAGTTGGGACTTACGGCTTTGTTGTTGTTGTTGTTGTTCTTGGAGCTGTTAGTTCATTGTTGCTCAACCGTGGTTATTATATAGTTTGTTATATTGTTTTCTCTCTCTTTTCACCAAATAAATGTGAATGACCATGTAACAATTCTTTTAAATGAACTGGCAGGCAATGCCCCAGCAGCTCAAACTGGAACCATATGCTGTGCATACTACCTTCCAGTTTGCAGGTTCTGATGGAAAGCGCCATAGGTTACGTGAGGCTATGCTTTTCTATGACCAACCTGCATATTATGATACACCAGGTATTCTTTCTTCTCATCTCATTTGGTAAAATTCATCTTTTTTATACTAAGCTAAATGTCTTAGCTGGTTGACTACTTATTTTTTTTTTGTACTTGACTTTTACTACACAATTCATAAGTGAGTTGTAATATTGATAGGTAATAAGTGAAAAATATTTGCCCAAATACTGAAAACCAGTACTAGTGCTATGTGATTTTTGAGATGCAATGCTGTGTTGAGCGCTTTAATTTTTGAGAAATTATCTATTGAAAAACTTGATAAGCTATAGATTCATGTGGAGTATGCAAGGACTACAATACCGTGTATTGGACCCTACCAGTCCAAGTCTCGATCTGAAATGGTTTGGTTTGTACCAGCATTCAAGGCCTGGACTAATGACTCTTGTCTGTATCAGCGTATCAACACATATTATGTCGGCGTGTACAATATACTACAAAAGTACTTGAAAATCAGTGAAAAATAAAAAAATCTTAATTTAGGGTTCTTTCTCACATATAAATGAGCCTAGCATAATCAATATTGATAACAATAAAGTGATCTTAATATAGAATACAATATAAATACCAATCGAAACATATATCGAATAAAAATTGGAACTAGTATATAAAGAATACGTATACCGAGAAGGTGAGAAAGAAATTCTAACTAACATTTTAAGACAATAATTAGGTGTCAATAAAGTGATCTTAATATAGAATACAATAAAAATACCAAATCGAAACATATTTCGAATAAAAATTGAAAGTAGCATATAAAGAATACTATACCGAGAAGGTGAGAAAGAAATTCTAACTAACATGTAAATACAATAATTAGATGTAAAATGCCAAAAATATATACCTGCACCTACCACAAAAATGCCAAAAATTTATGAGATTCATGTATATGGACGGTGTTCATTTTTGAAAGTTCTGTAATAAAGAATCTTTCGTATGACTAAATTTATTTGAGGTCTGGAGCAAGAACTAGAGCATCACAATCAATGAAATGATGATAGAAAATTCAGCACACCCTACACATCCCAGAGTGTAGTGTCTATCTCATCAGGTTTACTTGCGAGGCTACTGGACTCTATGCTTAATTCTTCCAAAAACTATGTTATGTTGTCATGCTTGTTATCCTTCTGCCTCCGTGTGTGTCTTTGCAGGAGGTTTCTTATCATTCAAACCTGGTATTCCTAAGAGTTTGTTGCTGGATGGGCCACATACCTTACAATCACACTTCTCATTGGTTAATTACCAGGTAAGATAATATAAAAAAAAGATCAGCATTGGCATTTCTTATTGAGATTTGGAGAGATGTCCAAGTAATTAACTGATCAAGTGACATTCTTATTTGCATGTTTCAGTTGAGGCAGATAAGGACTGCACTTGCTGTTGCTTGTCTGTTGAACCGAACACTGGTGAGTGAGGTTTCACCAATTAAAAAATTAAACTTGACCAGCTGAGATTTTATAAAAGATATCTTATATGCATAGTTTAAACTTTAAAGGGATCTTTTTCCTTGATATTCTGCTATGGTAATTAATAGCTTCAGAAGATAGGATCTTTCAAAGATCCCTTCTCCTTTCACAAATTGTGCACTTTGGAAAACAATGGATGTACATGTTGTCCAAACATTTTGTCCATGCAGATGTTGATATTCTGCATGGATCTTTTTCCTTGATATTCTGCTATGGTAATTAATAGCTTCAGAAGATAGGATCTTTCAAAGATCCCTTCTCCTTTCACAAATTGTGCACTTTGGAAAACAATGGATGTACATGTCGTCCAAACATTTTGTCCATGCAGATGTTGATAAACATTTCATTAAATTGTGCAATTAATTTATCATCTAATCAAATTCCAAATGGCCATTGAGCTGAGAACCATTTACTTCTCAAAATCCTTTTTTTAAGGAGTTTATTATTCATTAGTTATTGCTCGAGAATAGTAATGTTAACGGGAGTTGCTTCTTGGAAAATCATGGAGTATCAAATAATTGAATTTTGTGTCTAATTTTTGAGATCCTGATTCTATCATAGAATAAGGATGGAAGGTCAACTTTGTTCTCATCAGCACAA